GGCGCTGGGTAGGGGTAGCTCCGTCCCTGAACGAGGGTGCCCAGGCTCCCGGGCGAGGCTTTTGAGCGGGACGAGCCCGAGGATCCCCTCCGCGCTAGACCACCAGACAGAGCCTCGGGTTGCAGACTAGGAGCTCCGGAAGGAAGGTCCTTGCTTGGGAGGTGGTTGAGGGGTAGGGTTAGTGTTAGGGCGAAGGAGATCGCCCAGGTCTGCGGACACCGGTGCCTACGCGAAGAGACGGTGCGGGTCGCCTGGATTCGGACCCTGACAACTCTCTTTCCTCGTCCCAGTAGATGGGAGCTGCTCCCTGGGGCTGAGCTTGTCGCATCCTCCACCAGCCCTCGCCCCCGAAGTCAAGAGGAGAGCCCCTGCCCCCCCACACACCTTGCCCCTTTTGGGGGTCGCCTCCATCTAGCCGGTCCTTAGCTCTAGCGGCCGCGCCGTCCGACAAAGGAGCGGGACGATGCTACTGGCGTCGGTGCTGGGAAGTGGCCCCCGGGTGGGGCCGCCGCTCCGGCCCTTCCTCGGGCCTGCGCTCCTGCTCAGGGCCCTCTCCACATCAGCCACCGACACTCACCACGTGGAGATGGCGAGGGAGCGCTCCAAGACCGTCACCTCCTTTTACAATCAGTCCGCCATTGACGTGGCCGCAGAGAAGGTGCGCAGCTGGGGCAGCGAGGTCCGGGTCCCCGGGTGGAGTGGGTGTCCAGGGAAGGCGCGGGGCCGATGTGGGGGTGCAGTGTTGGAGGTCCGGTGCTCAAGCCCCATCTGCCCCTCCTCCAGCCCTCAGTCCGCCTCACTCCGACCATGATGCTCTATTCAGGCCGCTCTCAGGATGGCAGCCACCTTCTGGTAAGATTCCTGCCCCTTATTTTTCTCTTGGTTCCTGGAGCTCTGGCCCAGCCAGTCGGCCCCCAGCCCTGCTTTCCCTCCTTTTTTTCTACTAGAAAAGTGCCCGGTACTTGCAGCAAGAGTTGCCAGTGAGGATCGCTCACCGCATCAAGGGCTTCCGCAGCCTTCCTTTCATCATTGGCTGCAACCCCACTATCCTGCACGTGGTAAGATGGCCTCTAGGGAGCATGGGTTTCCCCAGTCGACGGGGGTCTGAGATCAGTGTGCCCACCACCCCAAGGGCAAATGGGGAGATGGGACCAGAGAGGCAAAGATTTGCCAGCCAAAAGGTTTCAGGGTCACAGAGGACCCAGACCCAAGCCTTCAGAAGGCAAGGCTGCATGTTCATGGAGGCTTGAAAGGCCATGATGGGGGTTCGAACCTCTTGAATTGGGGTGATGGCATAGGAAGTTGTCCTCTACCCAGTGCCCACAGCATCCTTGTGAATTCTGACACTTTTTCCTTGCAGCACGAGCTGTACATCCGTGCCTTCCAGAAGCTGACAGACTTCCCTCCGGTGAGGGCGGGGCCTGGGCAGGGTGAGGGGTTGAGAGGTCAGGGCTGGACCATCCATCCTCATGCCTCTGTGGCCTGCAGATCAAGGACCAGACAGAGGAAGCCCAATACTGCCAGCTGGTGCGTCAGCTGCTGGACGACCACAAAGATGTGGTGACCCTCTTAGCTGAGGGCCTACGTGAGAGCCGGAAGCACATAGAGGTCAGGGGCAGCACAGTGGTGGCTTGTTGGGGGGCCTGGGGAGGGCACAGCATTATTGAGGCCCCACTGTTTATAGGATGAGAAGCTTGTTCGCTATTTCTTGGACAAGACACTGACGTCCAGGCTTGGGATCCGCATGTTGGCCACACATCACCTGGCGCTGCATGAGGACAAGGTGGGGCGCTGGGACCTGAGACCCACCTGGGAATGTCAAGCGAGGCAGAGGGGGACTAAGCCAGGGGCCCCCTTGGACTGGGGACCTGGGCCGAGGGCCTGGGGAGGGGCTTGGGCTACTTCAGCAGTCCAGAGGTTGCAGGCATTTGGTGGCCAAGGTGCAGGTCAGCTGCTAGTCCTGACCTTCTTTCTCCTGACAGCCTGACTTTGTCGGCATCATTTGCACTCGCCTCTCGCCAAAGAAGATTATTGAAAAGTGGGTGGACTTTGCCAGGTGAGGCTAGAGCAGCTAAAGCGGGGATGGGGAGGTGGGTAGTCTTTGGGCAGGGAAGCTTGGGTCTGAGCCCTTGCCTGGGGCATGGTCTACGGCAGGGTTTCTCAACTGTGGCACTATCAGCATTTTGGGTCAGACAATTCTGTTTTGTGAAGGGCTGTCCTGTGCTTGTTAGCATGTATAGAAGGATCCTTGGCCTCTACTCACTTGACGTCAGCAGTACTTCCAGTTGTAACAAACAAAAATGTCTTTAGAAATTGCAAAATTTCCCTGGGGGGCATGGAAGAAAAAGAATCTCCAGTTGAGAACCACTGGTCTAGGTCTGAACTCTTGCTCCTACACACAGACGCCTGTGTGAGCACAAGTACGGCAACGCCCCCCGCGTCCGCATCAACGGACACGTGGCTGCTCGATTCCCCTTCATCCCTATGCCCCTGGACTACATCCTGCCGGAGCTGCTCAAGAATGCCATGAGGTGGGCTGGCTGGTATGTTGACAGACGGCACACGGGGACTGGGGTGAGGCTGGGATGCCAACACCCACCACTGGTCTTCCCCCCGTATAGAGCCACGATGGAGAGCCACCTAGACACTCCCTACAACGTCCCAGATGTGGTGATCACGATCGCCAACAACGATATTGACCTCGTCATCAGGTTTGCCCTGAGTGGGTGGACGGGGGTTGTTCCTACAGTTTTTGACTTGCTGTATGAGCTCAAACCAGTACCTGCCCCACTCTGAGACTTGGTCCCGGGTCACACAAGATACTCTGGTCCTGAGATTGCCGTGAGCTGGATAAGAAGGAGTCCGGGGCCAGGTACAGGCCGTAGGGCAAGCACGTCAAACTCAAAGGCTAACCGGGCCTTAAGTAAACAAGGCATGCAGGCGAGTTTGACATTAGCAACTAGGGCCCTAGGGCAGTGATGGCTTTTGAGCTCGGGGTGTCAGCATTTTGAAAAACCCTAACTTAACTCTGGTGCCGTGTCACATATAGAAATTTTTTGATATTTGCAACCATGGAAAAACAAAGACTTATATTTTTGATATTTATTTTATATATTTAAATGCCATTTAACGAAGAAAAATCAACCACAAAAATGAGTTCGCGTGTCACCTCTGACACACATGTCATAGGTTCGCCACCACTGCCCTAGGGCCTTGTCTTCCTTAGCAACTGATGGGCCTAGAATGGGGGAAGAGTCGGGAGTAAACACTGTGACACTGGGCTGAGAAAGTCAAACCTGTGAGAAGGTGTGAGCAGTCAGGGGCCCAGGCAGAGGCGAGGACAGAGAAACGAAGCTTATAAAAAACAAGGCCCAAGGCTCCAGGTGGACACTCCACCTTTGGCTAAAAGGGACAAGACAGCACCATCTGCATGGGAGGCAGGGAGCCCCCCGCCAAGCTGAGGCACGTTCCTATTACCCACATCCTGCCAGGATTTCAGACCGGGGAGGGGGAATCGCTCACAAGGACCTGGATCGGGTTATGGACTACCACTTCACGACAGCCGAGTCCAGCACCCAGGACCCCCGGATCAACCCACTCTTCGGTCACATGGACATGCACAGTGGTGTCCAGTCAGGACCCATGCATGGGTGAGCCCCCGCTTGGCCATGATGGAGGGGTGCGGGGGCCCTGGAGACTCAGGCCTCTGAAGCTCCTGTCCTGTCCCCTCCCTTCTCCCCCAGCTTCGGCTTCGGGCTGCCCACGTCCCGGGCTTACGCGGAATACCTTGGCGGTTCCCTTCGGCTGCAGTCCCTGCAGGGCATCGGCACGGATGTCTATCTGCGGCTCCGTCACATTGATGGTCGCGAGGAAAGCTTCCGCATCTGACCCTGCAGCCCTTGGCCTGCCCGCCTGGGCCACACACCCTGCCAGGACCTTCTGGGCCAGACAGGGTGCTGTGTGCTCCACACCCTGCTGCATCTTGGGTCTTACGATGCCAAGCAGATGGACTTACATGGAGCCGGACACCGCCCCTCCTCAACAGGGTCCACTGTTTCCCTGCTTCCAGCCCTTGGAGGGGAGGAAGAAGGGACCCCAGCACTGGCTTCATCTTTCTTGTTCCTGGGGAACCCCATTTTGACCTGCTGTTATTAAAGTTCACATTCTGAATGCCCTCTTGGGCCCCATGTGGGGAGGGCAGGTGAGCTTGTTTCTGATCCCATGCAGGTTCCCTGGGCCCTTGGGTTCAACCTAGTTCACGTCCAGGCGCTTCACTGTCCAGACAGATTTTTCCCCAAGTCTCTTGCGCTTTGACTTGGTGGGAGTGAGGGTGACTGACAGTTTGTACAAAGACCTTTCATTCATTTCATTTAACAAATGTTTCTGCTTCTCAGACAATATCGAAGGCCCAGGCTGGCCCAGCTTCAGGCTTCATTTCTGACTCTTGCCTTCCTGGCAGTCACAGGTTCTGGAGATGAAGGTCACCAGACTGGGCAACCTCCTGAGCCACCTGATTCCTGAGCCCAAGTAAGGTTAAAAATACCGTCCACCACCTGTGCCTGTTGCTGCCAAGGACAGGAACACCCAAGATTGTGCCCTGGCAGGCTCCAGAGGACCATGGGGCCCTGGTAGGGAGATTAAAAGGAAAGGGTCCCATAGAGCAGGTGGGTCTCCCTGCCCATGTTGCCAGGGAAGGAGAAAGGCTTGGTGGGACTGCTGATGGAGGCGGGGAATGGAGCGGGCACAGGAAACCAGTGACTTGCCAGACTGAAAGTCTGCTGGCTGCAGTGCAGGGGGTGAGGCTGGAGAGGCAGGCGGCAGCAGTCAGCTGCAGGACTCTACTATACAGCAGGGGTGGGGAATGTCTGGCATGGGCCGTATAAAGCCCACAAAATCATTTGGTCAGGCCCTGCCAAGGCATTAGGAGTGAGTTAATTAAATGTCTGAGCAAATATAGCAGGCTAATTTAATATATATATATTTTTATTGATTTCAGAAAGGAAAGGAAGGAGAGAGAGAGAGATAGAAACATAAATGAGAGAGAATCATCAATCGGCTGCCTCTTGCAGGCCCTACACTGGCAATCAAGCTGGAACCTGGCATGTGCCCTGACTGGGAATCGAACTGTGACCTCCCGGTTCAGAGGTGGACACTTAACCACTGAGCCACGCTGGCCGGGTGCAGGCTAATTTTTAGGTTGATAATTTTGTATGGCCCACTAATGATGTTAAGTGTATCCAAATGGCCCTTGGCAGAAAAAAGGTTCCCCACCTCTCCTGTCTAGCTAAGCAGGGGTCCATGGGTGTGTTTTAAGCTAGGAAAGTACGTATCATCGGGTTGGATTCCCCAGAAGCAGAACCTGAGAAGATTTGCATCCAGTGATTTGTTGAGAAAACACTCCCAGAAGGGAGTCGGGAAGCATGAAAGGGAAGAGCAGGAGGCCAGGAAAGGATGTGATCGCAGGTAAAAGTCCAGAGCCAGTAAGTTGTGCCAGAGTTGGAGGCAAGAGAGCAAACCCCACAGACACTGGTTAATGTCTGCCGGGAGGTACCTGAAACAGTCCTCAGCTAGTTCAGGCAAAGCTCTTCCCTTAGCCAGAGGGGCATCTGTCAAATAAGAACCTCTGGTGCTGTAGTTTGAAAACACACAGCATGTAACTGGCACACACAAGCAACAGAGGCTCCAGGGGATCTGGGTGAAACTTCTGTATAGGTTTTGGAGAAAAGTCAGATTTGCACATTAGAAGAACCACTGGTGGTTGGTGGATAGGAGGGAGAACAGTGAGGAGGTTGGTGGAGTGACCCTGATCAGGGATTTACAAAGCTTATGGTAATCATTAACTAAAGGGATAGCATCCCTAATTGAAGATGTCAGGTGAAGTCAAAAGTGAGGCACCAGAACCCTGGGTAGATAGAATAACTATGTTGAAGACGGGGGAGTGAGAGAAGATGTTACAATTTTAATTTTTTACTTCCTTTCTCCTGTTTCTTTTTTTAAAATGCTGCCAGACACCTGGCATTCATTGCCCTCCCCCAAACTCCATTTCCCTAAAGCCCAGTTACCAGCATTTACACTGCCAACCCCCATAAATACCTAACTCAGATATTTCTTGATCTGTAACCTGAGTCCCATTCTCTGGCCCTGAGCATGTCACCACTCTTAGAATTGTTTCCAAGTCCAACAGCCAAATTATAAGTCGAAGATTCAGAGTGGCCAAGAGGAATGTTTATTGAGCACCTACCCTGCCTGGCATTGTGCAGTGCACTTACTTTATATATATGAGAGGTAGGTGAGTGCATGGTTTAACCTCTATTTAGTTATATGGTTTGAACAGTTATATATAGTTTAATCCTTAAACACTCTGAGAATGAGCACTTGCACAACTTACCCGGAGGAGGGTCAGAACCCAGGATTCCTCTCGCTAAGCCCACCACCTCCATTATGCCCACTGCCTCTGCTGGTTTCTGTTCCGGGGAAGTCTGGTTTGGGGGGCCTGGCCCGTTCTTTGGAAAGGCTGGATTCTGAGGGGTTTATTGGCGGCCCCGGGACACACCTCCAGCTCCCCCACCCCTGTATCCTGCATCCATCCTGAACAAGCAAGGCCGTTTCTTCCACCTGCAAAAAGGGGTGAGCGGTCCAAGGCAGGCGGAAGCGGCGGCGCAGGAGTGGGTGTCAGGCCTCCAGCAAACTCGGGGCGCGGGGACAGCGAGGACAGCGCCCCCTGCGAGCCGGCGCGGCGCGGCTTCCTCGGCGCA